GGTTTATACCTGTAATCTTAAATACGCAGAAGATGGAGATCAATAGAACCAAGGTTTGATGTCAACCCAGACAAAAAGTTAGTAATATCTCATCTCAGCCAACAAACCAGCTGTGGTCCAACCTACATGGGAGTTATAGGTAGGAGGGCTGTTGTCCAGGCCAGAGCTGGGCAAAAACACAAGACCCTATCTAAAATATTGACTTACAAAAACTAAAAAGTCTGGAGGTGTGGCAAGTGTAGCAAGCATAAGACCCTGAGTCTAGTCCTTAGTATTGCCAAAAAAAAAAAAAGATACTCTAGTCAACCCCTGGAGTAATGGAAATACAAATGATAGATGGTGATTCCATTAAAGATAATGAAATAAAAGCATAATAATTTTATAATTTACTCCCTTCTTATAAAAGCCTACAAAATAACAAAATGATGAAATGGGAATTAAAACTGCATCTGTAATTAAGTTCTTGACAAGTAGTTTTCCTATAAGGAGACATTTGCACTGATCAGAGATAAGGAAATTGATTTGCCTGTATCTCAGGAAGGGTACAGATTTTCCTAAGACTCATGGTCCTGAGATGTTCTCCAAAGAGGCTTGCTTGGAGCTGCTGGGAGACAATGCATACACAGTTAAAAAAAATCCATTTTCTACAATTCTAGTTATGCATTCCAAAATGGTAAAAGATGTGGGGGTAAAGAGAAAACTGCTGATAGACTCCATCCATTATTATGACACAGTCTGCTGTACTAGAGCACTGGATTAAAGTAGGACAGGGGACAGAGAGGGAGCAATGTTCACCAGCAGTAACAACATAGAGAAAGTAAAACTGAATGGGGATTTTACTGTGACAATCACAGACCACCCGAGTCAAACAGTCAGGGAAAATACGGTCCCTGGGCAGAAGACATAACACATTTGGGGAGATGGGCTTGAAACCTGAAAGTTAAATAGCTTCTGCAAGCTGAAGTGACTCACTCTCTGAACTAGAGTGAACTCTCTTCACTGAACTAGAGTTCAGTAAATAGCCGGCTTTATTGAGTGATTAATAATAGAAAGAAACCAGTCCAGAAAACAAGCAAAGGTAGTAAAACACAATGAAGAAGCAGAAGAAAAAAACTTTCTCAGAAAACAGAGGCAAAGTTAATATAAATACTTCTCTCTAGTTTCAACAAACTACAGACATAATCTCATTAATAGACTGAAAAGCTCAAAGAAGAGAAATAATAATTTAATAAAGCAAAAATGCAGAAACATTACAAAATGAAATGGCAGAGAACAAGAACACTGTGAAAAACGCAAAAACAAGGAAGTTGAATACCCAAGGTTACAAAACAGAATCTGCACAACTGAAAATGCATTTGTATATGGTTGACAAAGGTTTAAAAATTAATGATACAAAAGTGATTATAGAGAATATTATAATTTTAGAAAGAGAAATAACAGTATTTCTAGGAAAAAGAATATTTAGACATACAAAAGGAGAAAGTTTCCTGAAATAAGGATTGAAACTGGGATAAAAAAGAACAGTGTCACTAAAATCTCTTGCTTTCACAGTTTTACCCTATTCTTCAGTTGAGATAAAATTTATTTCAGAAGTGTGATTGTGGTGGTGCCTGCCTATAATCCCAGTACTCAGGAGGCTCAGGTAGGAAGATCATTATTTCAAAGTCATCCTGACCTACATAGCAAGACCTTGTTCAAATCATACATAAAAAGTCATTTTTTATTATTTAATAACAGCACATGTGACGCATTTGGCTCCCACATTTATCAGCTAGTGCCTTTTAATCTACTCTTCTACACAAACACATCTATACAAAGGTATGTGGCATGATATTCACAAAATGTTAATTTCTGTGTGAGGAATTTTAAGATTATCTTAAATTTTCTGCAATGCCTGCCTTTATTTTTAACAACCACGTTTCACTTTAACAATGAAGTCATTGGAGTCTAAACAAAATGAAAGTAAAGGCAAAGATTAATTGAGAAAGGAAAAATGAGAGAGTTTAATTTTTCCACTATCTCTAGATTTATGGCACTCCACTAAGGAGGTTTCCCTAAAACAAAGGCTAGGACTAACATGTTAGTTTTTCTTATTATTCTGCAATACTTTCAATACATTGCCACTAATCCAAGTCAAATCCTCTTTAGTCATCGACACAAAATTCTCCCTAATCTAGCCCCACTGTGTTCTAGTACCAACTACCCCCACTTCCCTGAGTTCACCCTTCTCTGTTTGTCCTAAAGTTTTCCTGGACATTTCAAATCCTCATGTCTCCTCGTGCTTTAGGCAGTGATAAAAATGTGACTTTATGCTTGTTTGGTTGGTTGTTTTTGGAAGTGGGGTGGGGTGGATTGGAAAAACTTTAAATTATTCTACAAATTGCAGTTCATTATCATCTCTGAAGCCTTTTCTGTCATCCCTTTCTTTTCCTCATCATCAGTAGTCATGTTACATACATCCTTTTCCCACCATCTAGCTCAATGACATCCCCAGAAATACCTGTTCCTGAGTCAAATGGAAACTTTGTTAACACTGATTCTCTATAATTTATATATTTCTTTCTTCATGAATTATTGCATTAATTTTGATCTGTTGGTTTAAAATATTCTTCAAAGCAGACTATGACCACCTCTGAGGAAAGGGACTAGTTTTTGTTTGTTTGTTTTTGTTTACAGCATATTGCCCAGTAGTGGGAAGAGGCCAGTCAATAAGGGTGACTCAATCTTCACCCAAGGATTTTATTTAATATACCTCAAGTTATCAGGAAGACAGAAATGATGACCAATAAAAATTATTAAGTGAATTTGATGGAATTTAGTTAGGGGAAACATACATTATCAACATTGTGTGCAAGTGAAATAAATCCTTTTTCAACTAATGATTAGACTTTCTGGTCAATTTGTTCTTCAAATGAAAAATTAAGAATCCTTGGTTAATTTTATTTTTTCTCTTAGTTTCAACACCTGATTTTTTTAAAAATCTCATGTGCAGGGACAGGGAATAAAATACTCTGCTGGGCATGGTGGCAGAGCTATAATTCTAGAACTGGGGAGGCTGGATCACAAGTTTGAGGCTAGCCTAAGCTACATACAAGTTCAAGGTTGGCCTGGGCTACATAGCAAGACCTTGTCTCAAAACAAACAACAAAAACCCTCTGAGTTCACTTGGTTTTCAAAATCTATAAGCTTTAAGAAACAATTTTTTTAAAGGAAGCCAATAAAATATTTCTTAAGGGTAGAGAAATAAGGAGAGAAATATGTATGTGTTCCTCTACAAACAAATAAGATCAGATTATTGTAATAAATAATCATAGCTTCCAACCACAATTCCAAGCATTGTCTTCAAGGCAGAAATCTATTTATATTCATGAAATAATTTATGATAAGCTTTTTGTACAAGTACTCTTTATTAAATATACAAACATATACAGATTTTAATGGGCCTCATTTTACTGGAGTCAATTTATAAATGAGGAGCTTGTACTGGACAATTTCTATAGCATCTTTTGGCCTTAAAATCTGTTGATTTTATGAAATATCTAAAGACACAGAAAAGGCATTTTCATATGTGACTCACAATTAATATCTGGCATTTTAGCATTTATAGATCTTATATATAACCATTACAAGGCAATGCAGTAACTGGAAAGTCAGTGCCAGTGAATTAAAATAATTTATTTTTCAGAAAATGAGATTCTGTTTCTAAGACAGCAATTTCCCTCAAAACATCCAGAATATATTCATTTACACACACCTAGAACAGGTAGAAGGAAGTATAATAGAAGAAAAATATGGAGGCAACACAAAAAAGAAAAAAAAAACAGATCTGGACTGAGCTGCATAAGACTAAGAAATTCAATTAAGTTGTTAAGCCTGCCTAATGAAAAAGAAAAGTCAGTGCGTGAAAACTCTGATAAATTGCATAACAGAGTCACTGGTATCCCACCCCACGGCTATTTTTTTCTTCATGGTCTTTCTCTTGCTGTTCCTGTAGCTTAAAAATATTTACTTTATGAAACATTACCAAAAGTCCCAGAAAAAAAATACAAAATCTGCCCAGAAAAACAGAAGTATGGACACAAAACCCTTCAAGGTTAGTATTTTGCCAGCTAATATAGGTCTACATTGGGAAAAGGCATTCAAAAAGCTTGTTTTCTTTCTTTTCTGATAATTCTCACCAAGTTCTATGATCGGTGACCTGTATATAATTTGAGACAGGAAATCTGTTAAATTTTCACAGTTCCCAGGCTTTTATTTTCAGGTGTATGATGCTTTTCCACTTATAAAACAATCTTTACCACATTTTCATAATGTTTTGAAAATCAATTGCCCAAATTGTACTAGCATTTATTTATTTCAAAGTGGATATATGAACAAATATACTTGTTATCCTCTATCAATATTGGAGAAACAAATATTTTGAATACATTTTCAGGCTCTAGCTAAATTTCCTTCCTAAAGAACACAGTGGCCAGTGCTAGCGTGTGGTTCTTTAGCATGCATTCACAGCTCTGCTACTGAAGTAATAGGTAAAGGTGAAGAAGAGCTTCTTTATGGGACAGTGTCTAGCATAGGGCCGGGAACACAGTAGGTTCTAGGCTCTGACTAACTATGTGGTGAATGCATTCAGTTTGTAACTGAAGGAGCTACTATGGAAAAGAATTCCTCCAATGAGTTAAACTGGCTCAGAGCACATTTCAAGTCAACTGTTAAGTACTGTTTAGCCAACATGTGAAAGGAAATAAATTTTCCCTGGTCTTAAATTTTGTTTTTGATGCAGCAGAAGTTTCAATCTATTGATTAGTATTTGTTTTGTTCTATTTTCCTTCTACTGATGTTTTGTAGAGCAAGCAAAGTCCTTTTCTTGCAGGTCCAAGAGGATCTCCAAAGGTCACTGCTTATTGTTTCCAATAAACATTTCTGGTTAAGGGCAGTGCCACAAAGAAATTTAGGGTGGCTGGTTGATATTCATCAGGTATATTTTAAAACACCATAGTGTGTTTTCAAATCCCAATGCAAAATATGTACCACATGTATTTGGTACCCCTATTTCTCTTCTTCCCACTTTGCAGAATGGTCGGTACTCCATCTACTTTGAACACTAAATAGATCATTTTTAATCATCTCTCTGAAAAGAAAAATAGTTCACGTCCTCTTCATTGAGGAATAATCTGCCCCAGTAATTGTTTTATATTTTTAAATGGAAAAATTATTTAGGATTTTTATTTTAGTAAAGAATACTTATCTTTAAAAACATTTAAAAAGACTATTTTCATTACCTTTTAGTAAATTATTATAGCAACAAAATTACATTAGACTTTCTGATTTCTCCATAGTGTCCTTCGATAAATAAACGACCCAATAAACCATGTTAAATGCCCCAAATGTGACTGGAAAGAGAATTCGGGCATATTTGTCTATTTTACTTGTGCCAGATCCAGATGGTGGTGGAGCAGGGGGAGGAGTGGCAGCTGACAGCTTCCCAGAAGCCCCAACGGTATTGACCTTGGTCTTAATCCGCTCCAGTCTGGACCCAAAGGCAGGGCGAGTAGAAGCAGGTGCAAGGGACCCTTGTCGCGACTCGCACCTCGTCCGACTGGGAGTAGAAGAGGCCGCAGAAGGGAGGCCTCTCGCTGCAGATATCGTCTCGGCTGCATTTGCCCGGCTGAATGGGTTTGGACTGGAAGCCAAGTACGACTTAGGGGTGGCTCCTCCAGAAGATTCCTGAACGATGGTAGCAGATTTGCTGGAATGGTTTCCCGCCTCAGTTCTGTCGCTGACATCAGGTTCTGAGTGCACCAAGGCATTTGTTCTTTTTCTCATGTTCAAATTGACATTTGTATTCTGAAAAGGTGTATTAAAAATTGTATCGGTTAGGCAATTTTATGTGTATTTTTTCAAATGAAAATACCTAACAGTAGTCATGTCCATAAAGTAAACCTTTACTTATCAGGTATTGCCTCTCAGGTCGGTGTAAGTTAAGCTTTAAAATGTCTAACAAAAAAGTGTGGATATACTTGAAAGTATGAGACAAAAATTCTCTATTTTGAAATACCCGTTTTAATAGAGTTTAAATCGGTTAAGAAGTTTAGGTTTTTCAGACTATTAACTAGATTTTACTTCATTTTATTTTAGGAGTTCATGACTTTACCTCTACATGTTTGATTTCATTATAAGTAATTTTCTGTGGTGGTGGCCCCCATGGCTCAGGCCTGTAATCCTAGCTACTTGGGAGGCCGAGATCAAGAGGATGGTAGTTTAAGGCCAACCTGGGCAAATAGTTCACAAGGCCCCATCTACAAAATAACCACAGCAAAATGCACTGGAGATGTGGATTCAAGTCATAGAGTACCTACATTGTAAATGTGAAGTCCTGAGTTTAAACCCTAGTCCTACCAAAAAAAAAATAGTGTTCTGTAATCTGTCATATACAGAATTTTGTATATGCTTGTTTTATAAACATTAAGAATTATACCGGCATCGTGCACAGAATAACAATGACTATATGTGTATGACATTTCTTAAAAAATATTAAAAACTTTAACTTCCAAATACTTGCATTTGATTTTCATAAAAGAATTTTAGGCAATCATGCACATTATTAAAACAAATCTAAGAATCCTGACACACTTTAGTTTTTGCCACAATTAATAATGAAAATACAAGCATATATTCATTTAAATAAAAGGTTATATTAGACAAATTTGCACCATCACCAAATAGTTGCATACATATCTGAATTCAAGCCATTAACCAAAAAGGGATAATTAAATAAAATGTAATTTACTATTTACTATCAAATTTTATTTAATTCATAGGTCAAGGCTATATTTGAATGAAGCAGTCTCTTAAACCATGAAAATTGATTCTTCTTAAAATTAATGGATATAATAAATAACTTTAGGGGCCATTATATATTGTCCAATCTGTGAAGGAAAGTAATTGCTCAGATGATCCATAAAAGAATCATATCTAACTTTAGAAAATACTGTAGGCTTTTGTAATAACTTATTCACCCTAATTATGCTTATTCTATGTAAGATTATATAATATCTTATCCCCTACAATTTCATAAAATAAATGGTAGGTGAAGAGATGGAGACGTAGAGGAGAGAGAGAGGAAGAAAAGTCACTATAAATGGATGACTAGAAGAAGCCAACCTCAAAAGAAATCCACTGATATTACCCAAAGTAGGTAATTATATACAACTAATTGAGCACTCACTTTGGAAAGAAAGGTTTTTTCCTATAAATATCTTTCTCAGTACCACATTCATCAAGCATTTTTTAGATGTTCAATCCATGCTTGTGAATTATGACCTCAAGGTCAATGAGTAGAGAAAGAAAAACAGCTTCAAAAACACAGAGCCAAAGCAGACTCTAAGAGGTTTAGAAAGCATTCTTCATGTCTACTTGGAGTATTCTTCTAAACAGGGTGCAGCTGAACTAATGAGAAATTGCGATCTAACATATGGCACCAAATTTTGGTGGAGACAATTGAAACTAAAATTGACAGCAACCTAAAAGCTAAAGATATCTGCCGTTTTCCTCTACAAAGCACATCATGAATGACATCTAATTAATCCCCAGTTTTTGAATCTTTTTGTAAAATGGGATAATAATTGATTATAATTCATTCTTAAGTATTATACACATGTTAAAGAATATAAAAGGATCAGACATATCCCCAACATTTAAAAAGTGTATAGTACCATTGCCAAGACAATACATGCCTCCCACATGATTCAATAAAAAATATAGCAAAAAAGTAAAATATATTCAAAGGCCAACTGAGAAAAAAAATGTTAAGTATCCTAAGAATAAAAGGGAGAAAGTGAAAAAGGATGAAGTAGACACACAGGAGAGAAATACATGTATCTTCAAATACAATCTGATAGTTTCATGCTATCTTCTTCCAGTGAAATTTGGGTTATCTGTGATCTTTAAAAACCTGTATTAGTCCTAAAACCAAATTCTTAAGAAACGAAGACTTCCAGTTCCAGCCAAAATGTAGTACCAGAGACTTAAGTTACTACCCTGCCTTGAAATAGCAAAAAATAATCAGACAAAATAATGCAAAACATATCTTTTTTTTAAGACACTGTGTACGAGACAACACAAAATTGGCAGGCTCCCTGAATTAAAGAGATGGAGTTGGGAATATGGAAGACCAAGGTAACTACAGTTCACAGAACAAAGCACTATAGACGAGAATGATGAACAAAGATAGAACTCCAAAAATCTAAAGAGAGTCCCCATTGAGAATTTTGATATGCCAAAATCTATTTGTGACTATGAAGTGAGTAACCAAGGCATAAGAAAGAACCATCTGACTCCCTGTTGAGCACTCTCAATGACCCAGACTCATTATCTTTGACCATGTGTATGGCCCCAGCTCTCCAGTACAAGACTAAGATAGGGGCCATGGTTTTGAGTCTCTACTCCCATTTCCTGCATTGGGGGCAGGAAATGTTTCTTTTTTTCCCATCTCTCCCCCTATTTTATCCTGTTATAATAATTTCTTTCCTAATAAACTTTGCTAGTATTTTTACTACAAAAAAGAAAAAAAATACCTAAAGGAATTAGAGGAAATTATAACTGAAGTTCTCACAAATCCTAGAATAATGTATGTTCACACCAACCAGATCTGAAAATGTCAACATTCTGTAACATTTGGTAAAGTACTGCAAAAAGCTATAGTATGGAATAATAGTCTATACATTGTCCTGGTGCTACTTCATGAATTTTAATAGCAAAACTGAAAAGGATGAAATAACTCCAGTGACCAACAGAGGTGGAAAAGGAAGAAAGACAGATAGCAAATAATAATAAAGTACATCACATCTGTGTAGGAACAAGACACAGGAAACATACAGAAAACAGTTAAACAACACAGGATGGGGTGAAAGGGCAAGGAAGTACAGTGGAGGGGGATTACATTGACTTAAGCACAATGCATGTACAGGCATAATACCAAGGCAAAAATTCCACTGAACAATGAACAGATATCTAAACAACAAAGGAAGGGAGGCCACTAATGGAGAAGAAGGATAAAAGAAGGAAGTAAAGAAGGTGAATATGGTTGATGCACTCTCTATACAAGAGTGAATATAGAATGTTTTAAACCTGTTGAAATCACCATAAAGAGGACAAAGGTAAAAAGGAGAAAAATGGAGGGAATGAACCAATTTAGGATATAATACATACAGATGAAAATATCATAATGAAACCCTCTGCAGAGATATCTTTTAAAAAAAATGTCTTTTTTTCAAAACTGGAAGACAGAAAGGTAAATCAGGTCCTATCTGGGGGTTGGTGCCAGTGGGAGAGGGGAAGATATAAAGAAAGCATGTGGGAGGGTAAATATTGTGGGAATGCTATGCATTCATGTATGAAAGTGGAAAAATAAGACCTGTTCAACCTTTTCTAACAATGGATGAGGGGGTAAAGAGGAATGATGGAGGGAGGGAGTTTAACTAAAATACATTGTATGCACTGTGTAAATGTCACAATGTACCTCAGTAAAACAATAAAATGATAATAAAGATTTTCAAAAGAATGTAAATTCCCTGGATTTCCTTGGTGTTTGTTGTTATCTCCCCTCTTTTGTTTCTGTATTTACTAATTTGGGTCTTTTCCCTCCTCATTTTAGTTAGATTTGCCAGGAGCTTGTCAATCTTGTTTATTTTTTCAAAGAATCAACTTTTTGTTTCATTGATTCTTTATATGGTTGTTTTGGTCTCTATTTCATTAATTTTGGTCCTTATTTTTATTATTTCTCTCCTTCTGCTTATTTTAGGTTTAGCTTGTTTGTGTTTTTCTAGGAGTTTGAGATGTAGCATTAGGTCATTTATTTGAGATCTTTTTGATTTTTAACATATGCACTCATGGCTATACACTTTCCTCTTAGGACTGCCTTTGCTGTGTCCCATAGGCGCTGATAGGCTGTGTTTTCATTTTCATTTAAATTCCAGGAACTTTTTTATTTCCTTTCTCATTTCTTTTATGAACCACTGATAGTTAAGCAATGTGTTATTCAGCCTCCAATTATTTGTGTATTTTCTGCTGTTTTTTTTGTTGTTGAGTTCTAGTTTTATTGCATTGTGATCAGATAATATGCAGGGGTTTTTTTTCGGTTTTCTTATATTTGTTGAGACTTGCTTTGTATCCTAAGAGATATCTGTTATGGAGAAAGTTCCATGGGCTGCAGGATGTATATTGTGCTGTTGCAAGATGAAATATTCTGTAGAAATCAGTTAGGTCCACTTGTCAATGATGTCATTTAATTCTAGAATTTCTTTGTTGATTTTTTGTTTGGATGACCTATCTATTGGTAATAGAAAGGTATTAAATTATCTCACTACCACTGTGTTGGGGTCTATATGTGGTATGAAGTCCTTTAGTGTATGTTTGATGAAATTGGGTGTGCTGACATTGGATGCATACAGGTTGATGATTATTTCCTTTTGATGTATTGTCCCCTTTATTAGTATGAAGTGTCTCATTTGACCAAGTAAGTTTGAAGTCTACTTTGTCTGATATAAGTATTGCTATTCCTGCTTGTTTTCAGGGGCCATTAGCTTGGTAAATCTTCTTCCAATCTTTCACCTTAAACCAGTGTTTATTTCTGTCAATAAGTTGGGCTCTTGTAAGCAACAGATTGTCAGATCTTTCTTTTTAATCCAGTTTGCCAAATGGTGTCTTTTGATGGGGGAGTTTAGTCCATTGACATTCACTGTTAGTATTGATAGGTATATGGTGATTCCTGCCATTTAGTTGTTTTGGAGGCATCTTAAAAAACTAAATGTAGATCTGCCATATGATCCAGCATTACCAGTGCTAAG